ATTGTGATGTAACTACATTTATTTTCAAATGTAATTTGATCAAATCAAAACATAAATTATCTAATAGTGTTTAATTAAGTTGTCCTCTTTGAGATATAGATACGAAGGAAAATCAAGAGACCCAAGCATCTAAATTAATTGAAAGTCAGTAGACACCCAAGAGTCTAAACTAAATTAATCGATGGAAATCAGGAAACAAATGTGCGACGGAGATGAAATCCATTCACAGCCTTCATCGAGAGAAATCTGTGACAGAGATGAAATCCATTCACACTTGGTAGCCTTCAACTAGACAAATTGCAACAGAGATGCAAATTTAGTGCGGTCAAAACGACAAAGACAGGAACGAAAAATCTGGAGGCCCATCTGCGACGGCAGGCTGGACGGCCATCTGCGGCGGTAGTTCTGGAAGGCTACCTGCGACCCGACGAAGCGTGGTAGATCAGGGAACGAAGTAGATGCAGGCAGAGTAAATGAAGGAGCAGTTGCAGAGGGCGTGAGAGGCTTTGTAATTTTTTGAGAAAAAACGGTACCGTTTTGGGATCGGTACACCTTGAGGATGGTGGGCCGATCCCACGGTATAATTTGCGATGTTCAAACCTAAACTAGTAAAGTATTTAATGGCTCCACAATGCATCACGTTATTGTCTAACGGTTTTGCATAAGTGGAATATATTTAATTATTTACTAAATAGAAAATCCAGGTATATATTTAATTATTTGCTAATTAAAAAACCCAGGTTTTCCCTAGTTCAAACTCCATCCCAGATTTCACGATCAAGCATTCAAGCCGTCATCTATTGGGGTATTGCCAACAATCCCCTTGCCATGCTTTTTACCTTAGTTTGTTCTCTAAATAATTTCTTCTTGATTTTCCCCTTCTGTTAATAAATTCGGCCATCATGTTGAATACATAATTTCTCAATATGTTGTTTTTAATGTGCAGAGTACGTGAAGCACTTTCTCCAGACAAGAGATCTTAAAGGAGGTTAATTTCAATAAGTTAATTTAATTTAATTTAATTTAATTTTTTTCTGAAAAAGTAATAACAGACGTGCATATGGTTAAATTAAAGTAATTGGATTTAATAACATCACTACTTTTGTATTATTAAATATGTTATTGTCTTATAAATGTTAGTATGTTACAGTAGTTCAATTCTTATTGTAATTAAAAATAATGCAGTTGTAAATTTTTTAAAAGGATATTTTTTATCCAACTTAAATTTTCTGATCTGGTCTAAACTAGTCTGTTTGGTCTTGTTCATGTCTGGTCTATGTGTATTTTATAACAGACAAATAAGTTCAATAAAAAACATCTTAACATGTTATGAACCTAATTACCTACTTTTCAACAGGTTCAAATTATATTAAATGTCATTGTTGAACAATGAATCAGACTCTGGCAGCGAAACATCAAGCACAGAATCCCTCTCACTTGCTAAAAAGTTATTTGATGAGCCATTGGAGGAGGAAGAGTTTTATGATGTAACAAATAGCAATTTAATTGAAGCGTGTGCAATTCATGTTCCTATGATAATTTCGACATTGTCTGTGGAAAGAAAGCTCCCACACGGCGGTTCAAAATTCGGTAGAGTTTATACTCGGTGTGATAGAAAAAAGCGTCATGATATAATATTTAGTTTTATGTGCTTAATCTTGTTCGGACTCTTTTGAGTCTCAATCTTGTCTACTTTTATGTGCTTAAATATGTTCAGTCAACCTCACTCCAAACGGAAACATTCTTAAAGAAGAATCGGTCCAGCCCAGCTGGTCGCCGATTCACTCTCTCTTACGGAAGGTCTCGAGTTCAAAACTCAATAGAGTGAGTTTCAACTCAGTTTACTCTAGACTCCTCTAGCCCCCTTCCCTAGATGCCCCTGGAGTAAAAGGGAAAAAAACCACAATAAAAGTTAAAATAGGGATTTATTTAATCAAAGGAAAATGTACAAATATACCCATGTAGTATGAGTGTGAGAACGAATATACCCATATTCTATTTTTTGGAACAAATATAACCCTAAAGTATGTGTGGTATTGCATGTATACCCCTGAACTTTAAAAATGTGCAAAAATACTCCTCATATCATATAAAAGTGAAAATTTACCCTTATTGACTTTAAATTGATAAAATAAATTTCAAAAATACCAAAAATAAATTAAAAATTCGAAATTAATAAATAAAATTTTAAAAAATGTACTTGTGTCCAATTTTCCCTTTTATTATTTGTATATCAAAAATTTAATATTGTTAGTATAAAGTATTATGTCAAAACTTTACTATGTATTTAAGATTCTTTTGTAAATGTGTTAATATATGTGTTGCAATGTAAAGAATAATATTAATTTTTTGAATTCGTTGCACTATAAAATTACATATTTTGGATGATCTAAATAGTCCAAGATTAGATAATAGTGAATTTAATTTTATTAAGTTTACACACAATCAAAGAATGTTATTTTAGAAAATGTAACAATATGTTCAAATTTTCACAACAAGACTAAAATTAAAATTAATGAATTTGAAGTGCTTCATTTACAATGGAAAAATAATAATTTTGCAATTTAAAACTAAATAGTTAATATTTTAACATAATAATAAATATTTATTTTTAAATTTTGAATTTATAATTTATTTTTGATATTTTTTGAAATTTACTTTATCTATTTAAAGTCAATAATGGTAAATTTGCTACTTTATAAGAATATGAGGGGTACTTTTGCATGATTTAAATGTACATGGGTATATATGTACTGCAGCATATACTTTAGGGGTACATTTGTTCCAAAAAAAATAGAACATGGGTATATTTGTTCTTACACAATACTATAGGGGTATATTTGTACATTTTCCCTTTAATTAACAACAAAGACTTATCAAAGCATATCGATCCGGAAGTGACTCTCTCTCTAGGGTTTGGCTCCTCGGCCGTCTCTAGTGTAGTATCAATCTTTTTCCCGTCTCTTCCGTCTCGGCGTAGCTGGGCTAGCAAAGCAAGGACGAAGAGCGTGGCGGTGGGGCGCGGATTTCGAGTGTTGGTTTCGAAAGTGCAGAAACTGTGGGTCGATCGGTTGGCTTGCGGCAGAGCTTGGGGCGGCAGTCTGGTTTCGCTACTCAACTGATGGAGGACGTGTTGGACCAATATAAGAGGATGGCTTTGGGAGGGGACAACAATAATCTCAATTTTGATGAAGAAGACCTTGATTCAACCGCAAAGGGGGCTGAAATTCCGGTGGTGGGCGTAATTCTAACGGATCGGAAGGTCAGGGTTCAGGCGTTACAAGACCTTTTTGCTTCACTCTGGCGACCAGGTAAAGGAATGTCAGTCTAAGAGATAGACGAAAAGAGGTACTTATTTACTTTTTATCACTTAGTTGATATGAATCTTGTTTTGGAGGATGGGCCTGGGCTGTTTGAGAGGAATTTATTACTGCTTAAGGTGGTTGAATTGGTCCTGATGATATTCCTCATAGGATGAATTTGTTTGAAGCAGAGTTCTGGGTGCAGGTGCACAATGTTCCGTATAAGTTCATGATTGTAGGTACTGCTAGAAGGGTGGGCAATTATATTGGGGAATTTATTAGGTTTGATGAGAGCCATTTTAAGGGAAAATAGAATTCTTATCTTAGGGTTAGGGTGAGTATGGATATGAAAAAGCCCTTAAAGAAAGGATCTACTCGGTCGAAAGGAGGGATGGGACACTGGGTGGATTTTAAATATGAAAAATTACCTAATTTTTGTTTCATTTGTGGGATAATTGGACACTGAGAAATTTTTCCCTTTGAAATTTGAGGAGGATATAGCTTTAGAGAAAACCTTTGGGGTTGAGCTTCGTGCGGGGAGAGACTAGTCCGACAAGGGGGAATAAGTGGTTGGTCGAAAAACATGAGGGTTCGAGTCAACAGAGGAGGTTTTCTCAAGAAGAGGACATTACTAAGGGACAGGGATGCAGGGCGAACAGGGCTGACATAGAGAATAGTGGTTCAAAGGAACAGGGCAGAGGAAACGTTGGGGAGGTGTCAGTTGATCAGAAGCGCAGAAGAGTTTGGCAGGATCCGACACGGGAAGATACAACAGGAGAGAAGATAGCCCTGGACAGAGCAAAAAACAGGGAGGCGGCGGGGCCGAGTTCTTAGACCCATCGGTCGTATGCCTGCTGCTGATGTTGAGGAAGTTTAATTTTGGTTTTTTTACAATTACTCTTTTGCATTTTAATTTCACGTTGAGACTATTATTTTTGGTTTTTATTTTGTTTGGATCTGTAAAATTTTTGCATTAGGATTGAGTGATGAGAATTCTGCGTTAATCGTCGTTGGCTCAATTAAACCCATTTTAGGATCAGAGAGTTATATTGCTTCTGCGAAGGTGATTAACTCAGAGCCTGGCCCAAGGGCAGATGGTTACTGGTGGTGCTTTCGTTATTTTAGGCCCTTTTTGAATGCTTTGATTTTAATTTAAGCTCCCTTCTTCCAAAAAAAAATTAACAACAAAGACTTGTTGGTGGTGGTGAGTGATGATCATGGTTAGTGACAGTGATAGGGATTACCGTGGTGGTGGGAGTGATGATCATGGTGATAGGGGAACAAATATGAAAAAATAGAGAACGGCTATTCTAAGGAGTCCTCGAGGAGGAGACCATGGGACTTCGAAATCGGGTGCCATTTTTTGTTTTGAAAATACAGAATTAATAGCCTCTATTTAGATCGTGAATGTGAGATTTTACATAAACTTCACTTAGACTATCAAGTTTTGAATGTTCGATTATTGTGTAAAATTAACCTTATACTAGTAAGATGTTTCTTAATTATTATTATTAGGCAAATAGGCAATAGCCGCAATACATACATTTCCATCGAAGGACTAAAGGGCTGTTTTTTGTTTTTTTTTTTAAGTGACTAAAGGGCTGTTTTTTTTTTAAGTGACTAAAGGGCTGTTAAAAATATTGAAAAGTGAGATAGTATAAAAATTGAATAACAAACCATCAAATTAGCAAATGTGGACTTCAAAAGCCAAATTGGAGGTTAATTTTGCTACTATCAAGTCCTACCATCATCTCACTCACATTAGGACATTAAGAAGTGATGCAGTTATCATGAAAAATGGGTTTATGTGATTGAATAAAGTAAGAATGATTTAGAACCACACAAATTTTACAAAAATTGGTATAAGACACTCTGTGAGACGGACCAAAAAAATAAATGGGTCAACCTTAGCAAAACAGAGGGAGTACAACAACAAAATATCATAGCCTTGAGTCTTGTCCAGAAAGCTTGTCTCTAAGGTCCTTGAGAGCGTTTACAACATCTGAATCAAGATTATGTTTTAGCAATTTTCCTTGCATGGACGTAGATCTACGAGGAATAAGATATGTCAGATTAGAAGAAATCTAAATCATACAACATTTTCTCTTTTCATTGGATATGCAAATCAAACATGGCGGGGGATTAAATATACTAGTTGATTGTTTTGAAGGGGTTTTTGGATAATATTTGTTGTCTAGCAACTTTGTTGGAAACTTTGATTATGCGTTTGTTTTGTACCTGTGTTCTTGCAACATCCTCTCCAACTCCTCCTGTGCACCTTTGATCTGCATTGCCCCAAAAATATCACAAAGGAGAATAAGAAAATTATAATATTTGTAAAGCGACCTTAACACGACGGTCTGGCATGTTCAATAAACAAATACTAGTTGCATTCCAAGGATCTGTTCGGAATGAGGCATGGATGGAAAAGCTTAGGCCTAAATTGGATTGAGGGTGTGGTTAGAAAAAACTCTTATTTGAAATAACACTTCAGATTTATGGTCAGAAAATGCTTCTGAGAATTATAGTTGTACCATTAGTTTGAAAAATGTTGCGTACAATAGAAAATGTCAACAACAAAAACTTGAAGCACGATTTTTGAAATGCAAGTGCAGTCCTTGACTGACTTTGGGGTTACAACTCACAATGACTTTTGACATATAAAGGGGAGAACATTATAATATCTTAGGAATTGCGTCGGGACAAAAACTGATTTTCCCACCATAAATGTAGCCCAAATGAGACTTTGTATATTATCTAGATAAAAATAGAGGAGTATGCTTTTAAAAAGGGAAAATGGAAACTAATAATCCAACCTTTTAGCGGTCTTCTTTCAATAATCCCACCTTTTGATTATTCATGAATAATCCAACCTTTGCACCCCATCTTCATTTGTTGGTCCCTGATCGGTTAATGACTTGTTATTCCAAGTTATTTTCTTATCTTTGCAAAATATATTATCTTTGTGAAAGATGAGATTTATGGTATAATGATTTGCAAAGATAAGAAAATAGCTTGGAATAGCAGGTCATCAACCGGTCAGGGACCAGTGAATGAAGATGAGGTGCAAAGGTTGGATTATTCATGAATAATCAAAAAGTGGGATTATTGAAAGAAAACCGCTAAAAGGTTGGATTATTAGTTTCCATTTTCCCTTTTAAAAATGAATAAAAAGAGATCAAAATGTTATAGAATCACATAATAGTTAATAATATTGATAAATATATCACGTATGTGCGCGCTCGCGGCTCGTCCGTCCAAATCAGTGATTTATAAATAATACTTGAATCACCACTTATTCACGTTCGGAAAAAATCTGTTTTTCAAGATATAGTATAAGCTGTTAACCCTCCCCACCAAAACAAACCCTGAATGAAGTACAGCTCACCGTACAATCGTATATTATACTATATGAGCACATGGAGAAGCTGCACAAAGTAAAATCACATAGACACAGTGCTCTAAAGAGTATGTATGATCTTTAAGATTGCCATGAAAGGTTGCTAGGGCAAAATTAGACTATCATTGAACTATTGAAGTTTCACATGACATTTTACAGATGAGTAAAAAGCTAAATACTACGTATGAGTTTAGCACATTACCTCAGATATCAATGCTTTGCAGCTCCAAATAAAAGCTCCCTGAAAATTATTTTAGGTATAACAAGGTAAAGATGAGCTTCAACATAAACCCTATAGAGAAGTAGTCTACTAATATGGAATCAAAGTTACTACTGCAATGCTACTACAGTCTTTAGCTACTATTTACCTTGCCTTCAACAAAAAATTGAAATTGGAGCTACATAGTAATGATATGAGCCTGTTGGATGTATTCAGAAAAAACAAATGTTTTTACAAATTTATTCAAAATTAAGTTAGTTAGGACTTGTTTAGCGCTTTTATCCATTTCATTAGCGATCTCAAACAGGCACCAAATTATGGGGGACAAATGAAGCTATTCTGACAAAGTGAACTTAAGCCAACACTTTTAGGACCCATCATGGAATTGTCCTTGTGTCAAGAGGCTAGACCAGTTGATCTATAGATTGAAGATTTAACTCATCAAACTAGAAACTACAGCAATTCTGTTTCGTCAATGAACAAATGGAGCAAGAACAACTAGGGCTCTTAGCAACAAAAACCAAACTCTAATCACCAAATTTCTATTTTCTATTATATGGTCAAATCAATGCAATAAAACAACACCAGGTGAGCTTTCAAGATAAAACGGGGTACCAATAAGATTAGAGAAACATGGAATTTTATTAAACAATTCCTAAGGAAACAAAAAGTACATACTGCTCCATAGGCTGCATGTTGTTCAATTTGATCAGATGTCGCGACCCAAACTTTTGGACAGCCATCCTCCCTCAAAGCTTCGACCTTTTTAAATATAGTAATTAGTCAACAACCCACCAGTCAGACTCGGTCAGTGAAGAATGCAAATTTGCACCATATAATTGAGCAAATAGATGGATACCTCTTTCTCAATCCATGCATCTGCACATGTTTTAGTTGAATACACCACATCAACTCTGCAAAGCATAATTGAAGTAGCAAATTGTTAAAACAAATTATGTTCAACATTTTCTTTCCAACAATAAAGAGGAGTTGGATGGTGACCATGAACTTAAAAAGAAATTACTATTAATAACAATAATAGTAATAATAATACAATAATTATAGAAAAGTATTGGAATGAGAATCATGAACTGAAACTCAATCCATTTTCCTTCAGTTAAGAGTTAAAAGGGGTGAAAGGGATGGACAACTAACAAGTTACATTAAGAAACTGGCCCTGTTCGACTTTAATGCTATATCCAAATCCCTTTGTAGACAACATTGTTGTAGCTCACTACCATAATTACGGGATACCAACAGTGTGGAAGTGCATGCATCCCATCAAATTTTTCTTCAACTAACTAAGCGAACTTTGTACTTCTTTACATTACAATCACATCTTAATTTAATTACGCAAAAACTATTCAGAACATCGAAAATACAGTGATAGAATGAAGCAACAAGAGTACAGTAAAACAAAAAGAAGATGATGCAGTATAATATTATACATAAAAGATTAGAAACACGAGATCAAATCTTACCACGCTACGTATAATGAGAGGCATTAACATTTGTATGGTTGTGAGAATAAATACTACTCCCTCCCGTCCCGCTAAGATTGTCTCATTTTCCCTTTTCAGGAAATCCCACTAAAATTTGGTAAAGTTTGTGTGGCTCTATTTCATTCTTACTTTATTCCCACATTATCAATTCATTTTAAACCACATAACTCTATTTCCCTTAAAAACTGCACCATTCTCCTTTGTCCCAATCTTAGGGGGGCGGAGGTAGTAGTTTTAATTATCAGTAAAAGAAGAATCACGTATCCTAGGGCATTTCCAAATTAGTATTGAAAAATTTGATGACATTCGGGAGATGAATATATTTTGTGAAATCATAACCAATAAGAACCAGTCAAGGTTAAGGAAAATGATACCCAGCAAAGCTTTCCTTGTGAACAGGCATCTGAGACATCATAGCATCAAAAACAACAACCACTTTTACCTCTGCAAATGTTCCAATGGTTTTAAAAGAAGCAAACTTTAAACATATAAATATAGAATATAGATATACACTTGGAAACTAAGAGACTATTGATAGGAATCTGGGTTAGTAGGCTATTAATAAGAAATAATAATATTAGTAAGGGTACTTGTAGTAGTATATTTAGAAGGTAAGGGGTTAATAGTAATAGTTGGCATATCCATATGTTGAAATATAAACTAGAATAATATTTAAGATGGAGAGAATGATTTTCTGTGTATTTCATTGGAGGGTTAAGTCCCTATAAATATACATTACAAAGATAGAATATTCCTATAAGATTCTATACAATAATAATATCCTAGAGTATATTCCTAAAATATTCTAAAGTATATTCTAAGGATAGAAGAATATTCTAAAGTATATTCTAAAGTATATTCTAATGTCTTTCACACTCCCCCTCAAGTTGGAGCATAGATATTTATCATGCCCAACTTGTTACATAAATAACCAACACGAATTCCATTTAATGCTTTAGTGAACAAATCTCCAAGTTGCTCTCCAGTCTTCACATATCCTGTAGAGATCAATCCTTGTTGTATCTTTTCTCGAACAAAGTGACAATCGACCTCAATATGTTTTGTTCTCTCATGAAACACTGGGTTGTTGGCAATGTGTATAGCAGCTTGATTATCACACCAGAGTTTAGCAGGCATTGGTGTCTTCAATCCGATTTCACTCAGCAAATGGTTTATCCAGATTATCTCACATGCCGATTGTGCCATAGCCCGATATTCTGATTCAGCACTCGAACGAGAAACCACATTTTGCTTCTTACTTTTCCAAGAGACGAGATTACCACCAACAAAGATGCAATAGCCAGATGTGGATCTCCTATCATCTTTAGATCCAGCCCAATCAGCATCTGCAAAGCATTCTATTTTCATGTGATCATGATTTTGGTAAACAATACCTCGTCCTGGTGTCCCCTTCAAGTAACATAATATATGCTCTACTGCATTCCAATGATCAACTGTCGGAGATGACATATATTGACTCACTACGCTCACAGAGTAAGCAATGTCTGGACGAGTGACTGCGAGATAGTTAAGCTTTCCAACCAATCTTCTGTACCTTTCTGGGTCTTCGAATGGTATGCCTTCTGAAGTGAGTTGCACATTGGGAACCATGGGAGTTGTGTTTGGCTTTGCTCCCAATTTCCCTATTTCAGTTAGTAAATCAAGTACATATTTACGCTGAGATAGAAATATGCCTTTCTTACTCCGTGTTACCTCAATACCCAGAAAGTATTTCAATGAGCCTAGGTCTTTTGTTTGGAATTGGCTATGAAGAAAATTCTTAAGGGCCAAAATACCTGCGGTATCACTTCCTGTAATCACAATATCATCGACATACACCACAAGCAATGTGATACCTGCTTTCGTTTTTCTGTAAAAGACAGAGTGATCTGATTGACCTTTTATCATTCCAAACCGTTCAATGGATTGACTGAATTTCCCAAACCATGCACGAGGACTCTGTTTCAGACCATAAAGAGATTTTCGAAGTCGACAAACTTTCCCATACTCCCCCTGAGCAACAAATCCTGGAGGTTGCTCCATATAAACTTCCTCCTGAAGGTCACCATGTAAGAATGCATTTTTAATGTCCAACTGGTGTAAGTGCCAATCATGAGTTGCAGCGAGTGAGATAAGTAACCTGACAGATGTTAATTTAGCAACAGGAGAAAAAGTGTCAGAATAATCAACACCATAGGTTTGAGCATAACCCTTTGCAACCAATCGAGCTTTCAATCGAGCAACAGATCCATCTGGATTAACCTTAACAGCAAAGACCCACTTACATCCAATAGACTTCTTCCCTGAAGGCAAGTATACCAAATCCCAAGTACCATTCAGATCTAAAGCATTCATTTCCTCTACCATGGCATGACGCCATTCAGGACGAGACAAAGCTTCTTTAACAGATTTGGGAACAGAAATAGAATCAATGGAAGCAACAAAAGAACATGAGGCAGGAGATAACTGACTGTATGACACAAATGAGGAAATAGGATGAGTACAAGACCGTGTACCTTTACGTAGTGCTATCGGGAGGTCAAGATCAGATGTAGAGACAAGATCTGAAGATGCAGGTACTGGTTCAGGACATGAGATCGAAGTCGGACCAGTATCAGGATATGTAATCACAGGTGTCACAGGTGGGGAGTGATCTTGTGCTTTGTGTCGACGGGTGTAAACCAAGTGTACAGGAGGTCTAGGGTCAGGAACAGTGACATTCGACATAGTTACTGAAGGTGTGGTCTCAGGTATAGTAACTGTGTAAATGAGTATTTCATCGTTGTCCTCATGAATATCTGTCTTGGATGATGAAAATGGTGTATTTTCATGAAATGAGACATCAATAGAAATAAGATATCGACCTGTACTTGGACAAAAACATCTATACCCCTTTTGAACTCGAGAATAACCCAAGAAAATACATTTCAATGACTTGGGGTCCAATTTCGTCCGATGAGGGTTAACATCTCTAACAAAACAAGTGCAACCAAATATTTTAGGTGGAATAGGAAAAAGTTCTTTATTTGGAAAAAGACATTGATAAGGAGTTTTACCATCCAAAACAGAAGATGGCATACGATTGATCAAAAAACATGAAGTAGACACAGCGTCAGCCCAAAACTGTTTAGGCACATTCATTTGGAATAGAAGAGCCCTTGCAGTTTCTAACAGATGTCGATTCTTTCTTTCAGCAACTCCATTTTGAGGAGGTGTGTCTACGCATGAAGTTTGATGAATAATGCCATGTTGAAGCATAAAAGATTTAAATGGAGCAGATAAATATTCTTGGGCATTGTCTCCCCTTAACACACGAACAGGAACATTAAATTGAGTTTTAATTTCAGCACAAAATGTAGAGAAATGAGTAAATAACTCGGATCGGCGCTTCATAAAATACACCCATGTCATACGAGAATAATCGTCAACAAAAGTGACAAAATATTTGAAACCAGGTTTGGACACAACTGGACATGCCCCCCAAACATCAGTATGGACAAGATCAAACGGAGCATTTGCTCGTTTATTAAGTCGGGGACTTAAACTAGTGCGATGATGTTTAGCAAACTCACACGACTCACATTGTATAGAAGACACCTTATTAAACTGAGGATATAATTGCTTCATTAGTGAGAGAGATGGATGTCCTAATCGGTAATGAGCTTCTAATAGATTTCCAACCCCAAGGCAAGAGATACCTTTTGTAATTGATGTATCCAAAATATAAAGACCACCCGACTCATGTCCTTGACCAATAGTATGCTTCGTTAACAGATCCTGAAACACACAATATCCCGGAAAAAATGTTACAGAACAATTAAGAGTACGTGTGATTTTACTGATGGAAAGCAGATTAAATGCAAAATTAGGAAGACTCAAAACAGACGATAATGGTAATGTAGAAGTTGGTACAACAGTACCAGATCCAAGAACGGGTGAGGTAGACCCGTCTGCTAAAGTGACACTGGAAGCAGGTAAATGTGAGTGAAATGATGAGAATAGACTAGGATTACCAGTCATATGATCTGTGGCACCTGAGTCAATGACCCATTTTGATGATGATGAAACAAGACATGTGTTTGGAATACCTGAATTTGCGACTATCGAGATAGGGGTAGATGAATGCTTTAGAGATTCTTGGTAGCAAATAAATTTAGCATACTCGTCTGAAGAAATAGCAACTGATCCATCAGATGAGGTGGTAGCGGAAGTAACATGAGCGATCAAATTTCCTTGATTTTTGAATGCCAACTTTCTACAATCTTTGAGCAAGTGTCCAGACTTCTTGCAGTAATTGCATATTACTCTGTCAAATTGACCTGTACGAAACATTTTTTTTTTCTTTTTTTTTTCTTTTTTTTTTCTTTTTTTTTTTTTTTTGGTTAAAATAAAATTGAGATATTCATTAAACAAGTAAAAAGAGCTGAGCTTACGGCAACTTTCCCGTTTATGGGCTTGGGAGAATAAAATACGCAGTGAGCTTTGGCTAATGTTGACTCCAAACTTAAATCCAAGGCAGATGCGCAGATCTGTTGTGAGACCCCAGCAGACACCACATACGAACAATCAGCTATCGTCCTACCACCAGATCTCCTCCCACAGCTATCGTCCCTTTCTAGAGAAAGATCAAAAGAGAAGTAACGTATACCTGGGGTAGAGGACTCTCAGGCGAGCCTGTTGAAACCGATCAAATCTCCGGCCAGAAAAGTGGTGTTACGAGCCGGCGCGTGCAGCATCTGCGACTATCTTCAGAGGTGCGTGAGTATTAAGGGCTTTAATTTGGAACTGCAGAGTTTGAACACCTGAGTGTCGATGGCATGCGCACCAGAGTTTGGACTGTACTGAGAGGTTCTGAAAGGTTCTGAATAGAGGTTCTGTAGAGGATCTGTCTTGAAGATAGAACGATGCCTAGAGGTTCTGAAGAATCTGAAAACAACTGAAATCCCTGAAGAAGGTTCTGAATAATTTGAAGACTGAACTCAGATTCTTGAAGAAAGAAACCAGTCTGAAAATTAAACTGCAATCTGAAAAACTAAATTAAAATGGAAGGCTCTGATACCATGTTGAAATATAAACTAGAATAATATTTAAGATGGAGAGAATGATTTTCTGTGTATTTCATTGGAGGGTTAAGTCCCTATAAATATACATTACAAAGATAGAATATTCCTATAAGATTCTATACAATAATAATATCCTAGAGTATATTCCTAAAATATTCTAAAGTATATTCTAAGGATAGAAGAATATTCTAAAGTATATTCTAAAGTATATTCTAAAGTATATTCTAAAGTATATTCTAAAGTATTGGCTATAAATAGAAGGGTTAATAACGGGTGAGGCAGACTGTTGTTTTATCAGATTGTTGCCTTGTTGCCTAAGTCCAGGTTGCCTAAGAAGTCCCTGTAGCCTACGGTGTATCTCCTTCCATCAATAAACACTCTTTCCCTATCATTCATCAAATCTGTGCTTGTTAGTTTATTGTATTGCTCAGATCTGTGCCAGGTACCTAACATTGGTATCAGAGCATCACTGCTCCTGGGGATCGCAAGTGAAGTGGGGCTACTACAGAGCTAGCGTTTCAGAGGAGGTAGGTCAGAAGGAGAGAGAAAATGGAAAATCGCAGAGATACGTTGGGACTGGAGATGAAGTCGGCTATGTCAAACCTCGTGACCACGTTGAATAAACAGATTCAGAGCACCATGGCGGCATCTATGGCGGAATTCGCAGCCGCTATAGCAGCGCTGAAGGAAGACAGTCGCGGAGATCGCGAATCTCAAAACCGGCCTTCTGCGTATCCCAGTTTGTCGCCAAATGCGCAGGTTTCTTCTCCTCACTGATCGACATCGCAAACCAGTTTCCCTGGATCGCAATCGCTAACAGCTGCGTCCAGTTCGCCGTCACCAACCGCGGCATCTCCCAGTTCATTGCGAACTGTTTCTACTCGCAGATCTTCATCTCCCTTGCAATCAGCTTCACAACGAGCCAACTCTCAACATCAACGAACAAAGGAATCTGAGCATCTAGCTGCGTCGGAAGGTAAATACGATCACTCTAGCTCTAGTATGGGTCAGGATAGTAGTAGAAGAGATATTGGTGCAGGAAGTAAGGTTGAATTACCCTGGTTTAATGGAGAAAAAGTAGACAAATGGATAGTTAAGATGGAAGAATACTTCCGACTCAAATCTACTGCGGAGGGAAGGAAAGTTGAAATAGCAGAAGAAGCTATGGAGGAAGAGGCGTTTGACTGGTTTGAAGGGTGGCAATTTCAGACGAGGGAATATAGTTGGAAGGCTCTGAAGGAATCCATAACTAGGCATTTCCAGCCTACAAGCAGTCTGAACACAGGGAATCAGTATACGCGATCGCAAAGAACTTCTCACAGTTCGCAATCCTCTACGCGAACTACTGTTTTTCCTTGCAGTTCAACATCGCAAGTTTATTCCCTCAGTAGTTCACAGGTTTCTTCTCAATCTCAAGCCGCGGCTCACTGTGTGCTAGCTCCAGCGCCAGCAGATTCTCACACTTCTCAAGCGTCACCGCTCCGTTTGGAGTCTGTTAACCTGCTGCAACCTTCCTGTGTTGATAGAAGTGTTTCGCGAGCCAGAGCAAATGCAAAGAAGCTCAACGAGGGAAACGGTGAAAGCCAGGAGAAATTGCCAGCTGATTCTCTTACTTGGCAAGCTTCACAGCTCAGTTCGGAATTCATTAATCAGCCACGACCTATTTCTGAAGATAGATTCATTGATGAGGATGAAAGACGAGAGAAGAGATCTGCTGGGGTGAATCAACTCTCGAGTGCCCTGGAATATGAGTCCGTTGAGGACAAAATTGGTGGTTCTGAATTGGAGAACCCAGAGGTTTCTGACTCAAAATTGCTGATGACAAAATTGCTGGTTCCTGAAACCCATGTGGGTATTACGGGAGATCCGGTCACTACTGAGCTTCCGGTGGACAGAACTCAAAGTGGTTCTGGCATGGATAGGAGAGGAAGTACAGAATTCGTAATTGGAAGTGATGGCCATGTCAAATTGGATGAAAGGAGGAGGCGGTTTCAAGAGTTCATTGATGTGAATAGCCCTTCTATGATATTACTTCTGAGTACAAGAGATGGAGAATGGGGAATATATCTCAGTAGCCTGAAATCTGAAAAATATTTGGAGAGTGGTGAGACTGCTTTAGAAAGCATATTCAATTCAAAGATACTTGATAGAGTGCAGCAGTTTTTTTCTGAGAAAAGAAAAAGCTATGTTCATATTGAAAGGCAGATTTCTATTCGATCATTCTATAACTCAAAGGAGGCTGCAGAAAGAGTTCATAGACAAGAGCAAAAGAATGCGGTCAACCTGTATATCCTTTGTGCAAAGGATGCCTCGGATGAAGTTCATTGGCAGAATTTATACAAGAATTTGCATCAGGTTTCATCGGCATTGAATGGAAGGTATGAGGCAGCCCAGAAAATAGAGGATGATATTGTTTCTTACCTTGAAAGAACTGCAGGGATTGATGTCTCCAATAGCGAGCACCTGATGGATTTATCTTTGAAAACAGAAGCTGCCAATTATATCAAAGTTGCTATGGAATTGCTGGGTGGAATGAAAAATCCTTATAGACCATATCAATGGGCAGTCTACACTTATAATTCTCCCATGATGCAATCCAAAGAAGAGACAGATGAGTTGGATATACGACTAGAAATGATTAGCTTGCTTGGGGGCCTCTTTGCTATATCCAAATGTGAGATCCAGGAGGTTTTTTATCCAGTAGTTATGGAAGTCCTAAGGAGGTCTACTGAGAGAACAGTTCAAGTTTGGATGGGTGCCCTTAAAAAGGTTATAATTTGTTGGCTATGTGATCCCTTTAGAGATGAAACCCCTCAGATTTTTTCTATTTTAGGGGAGATACTGCTGAATTATGATGAACATCTGGGTAATCAAGTTGCTGCGGTTCTCTATGATGTGGCAGCTGAAATTAGTACAAGGGCAGCTGGATTTTATCTTGCAGAACCTTTATATGCTGATATTGGTTACAAGGAAGAGGCTTCAAGTGTAATTCCAGGGAATTTTTATAACCAGTTTCTGCTCCGGTTTGCTGTGAAAGATGTGATGATGAAAGTGAAAGTAAAAGAAATGAAGCTCTTAGATCAGAAACCAAGGAGGTACTGGGAAGGAAGAGGTTCCAGGATGAAGAGGAAGTTCAAGATCAAGGCTGTGTCTTATTACCCACCTTGAGGGCAAGGTGGTTATTTAGGGGGGGAGTAATGATAGGAATCTGGGTTAGTAGGCTATTAATAAGAAATAATAATATTAGTAAGGGTACTTGTAGTAGTATATTTAGAAGGTAAGGGGTTAATAGTAATAGTTGGCATATCCATATATGGGTATTGGCTATAAATAGAAGGGTTAATAACGGGTGAGGCAGACTGTTGTTTTATCAGATTGTTGCCTTGTTGCCTAAGTCCAGGTTGCCTAAGAAGTCCCTGTAGCCTACGGTGTATCTCCTTCCATCAATAAACACTCTTTCCCTATCATTCATCAAATCTGTGCTTGTTAGTTTATTGTATTGCTCAGATCTGTGCCAGGTACCTAACACCTATTAGGTAATAGGTATTTTCAGCTTTTCAGCCAATTTTTTTTACTAAACTCGTAATTTTTTACCAAGTTTGGAGTTACTTTTCTGTCTGAATTGGCTAAAATTATTGTACAGGTTCATTTTAGCTATTTTGTCATGTAGCTTTTTCTTTGATCTATTAATAAATATACTTTAAATATAAATTTTTCACAATTCTAGAGATTCAGCCACTTCAGCAGTTTCAACCAACATTTCATCAATTTCGGCAGATTTAGCCAATTCAACCAATTTTAGTGTTACCAAACATGGCCTAAGGATGTTATTAATTGAACTGGAATTTTCTGGTCTGAAATGGTTTGATCTGTTTAAGTTTGATCTGGTAGATTCCAATCTCTGTGTATTTTACTACTATTGAAATTTGGTCCGGTCTGGTCTGAGGTCTGTTTAAATTTGGTTTGGGACTGAAATCAGTCTAAGTAAAACATCCTAAATAACCATTCTTAAGGATTACTTTCCAATTCATATTTGTTCTTACCTTTATGCAAGAAACTACAAAAACATAGCATATAAATACTACTCCATATTTTAAAAGACAAAGGATATAGATGCAGAAGTCAATTCAAGATTCACCTATCAATATAGATGTTTGAGAAAAAACATAGAACAAACCACAAGTTTCATTAATGGACAACACATTTATTGCGACTCAATTTAAATATGAATGTCATGTGGTAGAAGCATGTGTAATGCTTTAGGGGGTTAAATTTTGTTTGTCATACTATTTGGTAAAGGGGTCAAACAATGTGGTTTAGTTCCCACAGAAACAATTAATATTTGGTAAAATAACAAGACCGATACATAAGGACTGAAGAGCAAAGTAAACCTCTAATCAAGTTAAATGTGACCAGTTCATCAATAAGTTTTTGCCGAGCAATGTCTAGTCTTCCGTTCATGAAATGTTTCTTCAACTTAGGCCAAAAGCCGCAAACATTATAACCATCAACAAGCAAGACAGGAATTGCAGTGCCTAGCACCTGATTTGTGCTTTTGAAAAGTTCAAAAATCCAAAAAGAAACATTGATAAACGGCTCAACTTAGAAACAAAGGAACAAAGAAATCGAGCCTTCAGAAGACCTGGGGAAAGTATTACAAATACAGACTGAGAGTGGGGTCTCTATAGAGCTCTGTATCTTCTGGAAGTTTTTCCTTCTCTTCCCTTTTTTTACGATAACTTGTAGCAGGTTTTGCAGTTTTAGATCTTCTCCTTTCGATTTCCTACAAAGCATTATGCACATTGTGATCATGTAGAAAGATTCAATCAGAGATTTTTCACTCGACCAACCAACCTTTAGTAACCTCAAATAACGCATGCTCTGTTGCACATTCGATGTTATCCTGGGAGGCTCCGAGCCCTATACATATAGATCAAAATTAAGACTTAAAAGGGAACCATCAATTTTATTTCACATAAAAATAAATCATGTGTAGCTAATATGATGCAAAACAGGTTTACAATGAAACCATGTTTCTTTCCAACCACCACAGACCATTGTACCCCATTATTTTTTCACTAGCTTATTTACACTCCAGCTAGCAAAGTAATCTCTCAATTCATATTAACATGGACTATGACTTTCTTGTGCAGGGATGAATTCTTCGACAGCACTGCATGTTGGAGTTGAGTAGCCTTTTTAAATCGAAGGATTATGTAGATACGGAGTATTACTTATGAGTTTCAGTCGTTCACACTTTTAACTAATGACTCAAATAAGTAACTTAAAGGACTTCATTTTTATAACTAATGAAGATAATATTTATAATCTTCAATTCCTTTTTTTTTAAATCCATGTCCACCAGCTTCTACCCACCACCTTCTGGATTCGCTACTGCCATGCTACAAACTAAGGAAAACATCAAACATTCTGTCTCTTCAAAAAAGACAAAGGAGAAAGCAACAGAGAAAAAAATGAATAAAAAGGGATGGAGTTAAAGGTGCACCCGATGTCTGGATCAACTAAAGTCCAGGTCAGGTCAAGTTCCAGTTAGAGATAAACTGTCAAGTTGTACAGCACATTCAGGTAAAGTTAACTTCAAGTTTCATGTTTGAGACTTCGTATCAAGCTAGAGCATAATTGACAAGCTCAGACATGAGGGAGAGTGTTGAAAGGTAAACGTTGAACTGTTGAAGGGTAAGCACAACACACACTACTGCGTTGTAGTACAGCTTATGCGCATGGTGACCATTTGACACTTATTTTGATCCTGGAAATATCCGGTGTGTCAAATCCAAGAGATTATTGTGTTGAATAGGCAATTAAAAACTTATGCACTGACTGTGCTAGCTTAGATAGGACCTAGTTCAGCAGGTGATGCCTATTTGAAACAAACATGAACAACTAACACGATAAGGAAATGGGGTAAGAGAGCCTAATAAAGAGTCAACCTGAATATTTAAAGCATAAACAATATATTCCAAAAAATGGGAATTCATCGAAGCAGATGTACCTTCTGCCGCTGGTGTTTGTTATTGCTCTTCTTTGCCGCGATTTTCGAATAGCGATAGCTGCATCTGGAACCATCTGGACAACCAATCAATCTGAGAAGAAAGATTGAGGAGGAGGGTATTGCAGCTATGGATGATATTCCCTTCATGGGATCGGCAACACATTATTACTCTTCTTCATTTCTCAGAATCAGTAGCTAGAAACCCAATTAGTCTCATTTACCTACGCTTATACGCTGTGAACTTTAATTCACGTATCTTGTGTTTAGAGCAACATTCATAGAGACATAGCAGAGCAATAGCCCCAGAATTTGTTGAAGTCGCCGGTCTGATGCCACAGCTGATGGCTGATTCTAGCTGGTTGTATTGGATGTTGCAGATATGGATGACTCTAAGAGCATCTCCAATGTGGGAGTGGATTGGAGTAAAATCTATCCTACGTGGCATAGGAGAGATAGGATGATTATTTTAATTTAATATGAAAAAAGTGGTGTGTGTGAAAAATGAAAAGGAAGAGAGAGATAGGAGTAAATTGTAGACAATGTGTATGACAAAGTCCACAAATAGACATTACACGGGAATAGGTGAGCAAAAGTGGATGAAAAGTGGGTTAGAAGTGATATAAAAAATGAAAATGAAAACAAATATGGAGATATGTAGGTCCTACACATAAAATTTGTGAGATAAAAAATGGGACCCGATTGTAAGAGTGTGTAAGAGAATAGACATTCCCATTGGAGATGCTCTTAATTAGTGCCTCAATACTCAATAATTAAAATTTCTAGAAATTGGTGTCAGTTCTTAGACATTAAATTTGAATATCCAAAATTACAAGTATATAAATATAAGAGAAATGCTCTTTGTACCCATTTTAAAACCCACCATATACCCACTATATATACTCCCAAAAATAATTACTCCTTTCATCTCATTTACCCCTTCCCCCATTTCTCCTCTCTCCCCCAGCTTTGTTGTACGCCCCATCTCTCCTCTCCCCCATCCAGCTCTTCTACGCCATTTTCTGCCCCCTTTTCCTCCCCCATTTTTTCCCTCCATCCAAGATCAAACTCATTCCAACGAGTTGATATAAAGACAGTTGATCTACTTCTTCTTTCCCAACGAGCAGCCACTCTTCAATGTAAAGTTTAACCTATAATTTTCTCTACCTTGTTTATTGGGTTCTTTATACATTTTCTCCTTTTCCTTTCTTCATTTCACTTCTTTTTTCATTTTCCAAATTCCCGAAATAAACTTTTAGGGGTGTTTGCAGTTGGAATCGGTGCACAAGGCATGGATGAGAGGTCAATTTGAGCCGCTCGTACAAGAAGCCCCCATCAACCAGGTGAACCAGCCCATACATTGAGGTAATAACCCATTCGATTCTAGTGATTGTTTTACTGATTGTTTTTTTTACAGATTGTTTTTTGTTAATTGGTTCAAGATTCTAGTTTTCTTGTTTAGCAATTTTAATAATGATGTAGGTATTTTTATTGTGAGGATGTACATCTAAAAAGAATCCGATGCAAAGGTCAAAATCAGAGCATAATGCACATTCAATACAGATCTTCCCTGAGATGTCTTTGTTGTTGTAATTATACCACAGTGGTAGAAAGCCCTTTTTCCATCATTCAACCCTTGACCTTTTAGATGGAATATAGAAATCAATGAGCTGCTTGTAAATGAAAAAAAGAAATTTACTAAAAGATGTTGAGCAAGACTTGACCGCTAAGACAATATTTATAGCACTATAAGTCACAAATTGTGGTTCTTAGCGGTCACATAAGTCACATGTAAATATGTTAAATAAATAGTTTATTATACTTTTACTTTTCAATCCTAAAGTTTGCATTTCTTATATACTATCATTTGTTTATAGCATGAGTTTGGGAGCTGTTACTACGGCAAATATGTGCAAGCAAATTTGTACCAAAAGTTACAACCATGACGTTAAATTAAACATTGATTGAATTTTAAGAAAGATCTGAACACACTTCTTAGCACCGTTAAAATGTTTCTAAGCAATATAAAGGAGCAACGCTCATGTTCAAGGTTGTTCGGTTAATTTTTTGTTGTTCATTGTACTTTATTTGGAACCCAGAAATGGATTTATTTTGCTAAGGAAATGATTACTATCAATGGCCTTGTTTTACAGATTAATCCACTTGTTTATCATGTCTTGTTTAGGATGTATCCCACAAAAATGATTGATTTATTTTATCTTGGGCAATTTTTTTATTTACTAGTTTTGTAGTTCAACCTTTTTTTGCAGTTTAAATTATTATTCTATATGCTCATTGTTTGACTATTTTATTTGATAAGTATCAATTGACTATTTGAACATTAGTTTTTTTTGTTTTGCAGTTTGAACCATTGGAGGAATTTATCTTGTTGCAAAAGCCACTACTACTTGCTTCATCTCAATGTGCAGAGTTGGATAAGAGTTAAATGCAATGTTGTGCTATTAACTTTCTTAATTAATCAAATTGTGAAGTTAATATTTTTGTATTTACAATGATAGTATAATTAGAGTTGCTAAAGGAATTGAAGTTGTGCTATTAGCCTAATGCTTTTTAGCTTGAGATGGTGATTCTTTTAAAAATAGAATGTCTATGATGCCCAAAAACAAAATAATTTTAGGTAAGCTTGTTGCCACGCACGGAAAATATAAACAAACACATAAACAATTACTTCGTATTTTCTACGCACAGATAAAATAAAGGAATGAACAAATAGACAATGTTTTCTAGTGTTCATAGACAATGTTTTAATAATGCATAGAAAATATAAATGAACATACAAAAAATAATTTTCTATGCACAAAAAGAAATAAATCAATACACAAACAATGTTTTAAGCGCACACAGACAATAGAAGTGAACATAGACAATTTCTCGCAATTTCAATTGGAATAGAAAATTATGAGAAGTCACTTCATACTTGGTTCAAAGACAATTCATCTCAACTTATTAGTTTGTTTAAGTGATTATTGTCTGTGGCCAGACAATTTAAATCTAGTTCACAAACAATTTTACTTATCATATTAACTCGCTTTAATGGTTATTGTCTGTGACCAAACACTTTATATATGGTTCACAAACAATTTCACTTACCATATTAAGTCGCTATCACTATTGTCTATGACAAGACACTTCATATCTGTACAGACAATTTCACTTAGCACATTAGCCTATCACAATGGCTATTGTTATACAAAAAAAGATCAAACTTTTCATTAATTACTCAAATTGTTATACAAAAGATTTTGAAATAACACCTGCTGTGTAAATTAGAAGATGCTAAACTTGAACAGTATGACAATTGTATTTGCAACAAGTCAAAGGTCTTTATTTCTCCAAACGGGCTTATAAGCTAAAACAATGTTGGACCAATTTGAGACCTTTTCAGCAGTTGTTTTGTTTGAGAAGCAACTACTTTCATTGTAGCCCCGCAAGACGGCAAATTGCTAGATCGTCATTCGTCAAAACTCCGGCGTCCTCGCCAATCGCCAGAATTCTGTCGCCACCTTACCGCTGCCACCGCCAAACGCCAGAATCAACCTCCAATAAAAAAGAACAAATCAAAACTTTTAAAGTTTAAACAAAATGCAACCTGCAACCTGGATTAGAAACTTTCAAAAGATCTTAAAACTGCCTTTAGAACTTTAAACATACCTCAATTTAGTAGCTTACATTTTTTAGTCTTCTTTAACATTATTATGACCCCATTAAGGGTGTGCTAAAAGGATGAACGTGTAGAGGAGTGTCTCTACAGTGGCCAGTAGCATGTTTTGATTGATGCTGCAAAGGAGACCCACCAAATATGATCAAATACAGAGCAGTCTTGGTTGTCATCTCGTTTTACATGGTGTTTAGATACTCAACTGGACTTTTGCTAATGGTTATAACTGAACGTAGGGTGTGAGAGGATGAGTTATTGTTGCCCGGAGAGCGGACAGAAAAGAATCAAGAATCAAACATAAAAGAGAACTGTCTGACTCCCCTGCCAGTTGTGCTGCCGGAATGGGTCACATCTTCAAAGCAGCTGTCCGGCTCCCCTTCGAGTGCATGTAGACGGTTGTTGTGCTGCAGATCCCCAGAGAGCAACCTTGCAACCCCGAGCTGCAGATCCCCAGTGGCGTAAAGCTGCCCGACACCCCTACGAGTGCAACCCACGTGTTCTTCTTCCATGCCCTTACTGGTTGTTCAATTCCATTAGCTTCATAAGATGAAACGCACAGGTAACCTGCTATGTCAAAAAATACAACTCTCCAAGTGCTAAAATCCATTAAAATCTAAATAATTCCATCAAAGTGAAATCCAATGAAATCCAATAAAATTCTCATAGAATCCGTAGCACTCCATTAAATTCCACCAAATCCACAATCTTTAAAATTCCATTAAAATCTACTTTGAAGACACCCTCCTTAACATACTTACATGGATTGATCCATGTACAATAAAGTTTATAGGCTAACATTGCACTAATATACTAGTAAAAGCATAATAAACATATTAATATGTCAACAAAAATATCTACATCATTATTCAAATTGGAAAACAAGAAAACTAGAATCTTGAACCAATTAACAAAAAAGAATGAGTCAAAAAAAGGAGAGTAAAAGTCTTGAATTTAAACAAAAAAAATCATTGAGTGATTTCATCAAACATGTTATGAGCATAAATTTGAAATAGAGTAATTGAATTAAAATTTCAATAGTTAACACTACATTCTCTTACAATAATACAAAATATTCAACTAATCAGTGTTATACCATACATTATACACAAATAATCAGAAATTTTAAATAAACAAAACCCTAAAGTCCATTGAAAAACAAAAACCTAAGGTGCATATAGAAAAATCGAATAGGTTTTTTATTTTTTGCAAAAGAAAAATCGAATAAGTTATTACCTCAATTTATGGACTAGTTGATGAGGGCTTCTTGTTCGACCGGCTCAAATCGACCTCTCATCCACGCCTTCTTCACGGATTCCAGCTGCAAAAACACCGTTGATGAGCTTGGACTTGAAGACAGGTGACCACCTAAAAGTTTATTTCTGGAATTTGGAAAGGGAGTAAAGAAGTGAAATGAGAAGGGATGAAAAAGAAGAAAGAGAGGAGAAGGGTTGAGATGGAGAAGGAGAGGGGTGTGGCGTAATAGAGGGATGTGAGGGGAGTGGGAAGAAAATGGGTAAAGATGTGGAATCGGGGTAAAAAATTAAAATTCTTTTATAGTGTGTACATGGTGTGTACAAATGTGTGTACAAGAAGCATTTTTGTAAATATAATAATTAAAATCATTGTTCAAAAGTTGTCATCATTGATCAAGAAAAGTCAATATGATGAACATTTTCGGGACGGAAGTACTATAAATAAAAGGGAAAAATAATTAAAATATCCCAAACTTTGTAGAAGCGTGAGATAAATACTCCAAATTTTCATACGTAATTTAATTACCCCAAACTTCATATAAAAAATTATTTTAACAACATGGTCATGTATCATTTCTTTCAAAAATATAAATTTATGATGTTAATTGCATAATTTAAAATAGCAAATTGAAAACATTGCAATTATGTAGAGTGGGGGGTAATAATATTTATTTTAAATGGAAAATTATAATGTTAATTGTATCTTCATAAATCCTAAAATACTTTAAATTACTAAATTAACACTAAAAATGGACATTTTTGAAAAAAAATTATGCATGATCATGGTGCTAAAATAACTTTTTATGCAAAGTTTAGGGTATTTAAATTACATATGCAAGTTTGGGGTGCTTGCTTCACATCCCTTCAAAGTTTGAGGTTTTTTAATTATTTTTCCCTAAATAATAAATGCTAGAGGTTACATCATGGGTACACCTATATAAAGTCCATCCTTCTCCTCTTTTATCATATCAAACATCTCTTTCTTTCTTTTTATTCCAATGTTCTCTTTTTTTTGGAAAGAAAATATTTTATTGAATGAAAGGTTGAGTACACAATGCAAAAAGAAGAAAACAAAAAAGAAACAAGAAATCTAAAAGCAAAATAAACAACAAATATTATGCCCACGAAAAGTTTTTGGACTGTGATCTAGTCTTCATGCTATGACGCCGTTTATTTTTTTGAGTCTTTCTGTAGATCTTGAGTTGTGTATTCAGATTCTCTGTGGGCAGACTTGTGTCTGAAGTGACGAATTGGGATTTATAGCAGATCTCTCTATTGAAGCTGGAATCCCATATGTCTTCGCGACTGGAAATGGGTAGTCGTCTGTCAGTTTCAGTAGCGTATTCTAGAAAGTCATCTGAAAAATACGAGTCATCAGAGGGGTCAAAGCTGTCTGACGCGTCCGAGTAAGCCTTAAGCAACAATTGCTTGTGATGATTTTCGGTATGGAGAGGTTGTTGAATCTTGTATCTGAGGGCCTTGATTTCTGCAATAAAAATCTCTTTGGATATAGATGAGACCTCCTCAGAGTTTGACGTGCCCCCTGTGAATTTCAAGCGTCGGGTCCTCCTGTGCTAAATTGAGTAGACCCGCAAAATTAGAGAATATTGTCAAAAAATCAACTAAGCAGGAATTTGTTTGACCCGTGGGAATAAGTATGGAGCTCCCTTTTTGCTTAGCTATTTTCACGTAGCTGCCAGATATGTACACTTCCGAAGAGACAGTGATAGATCCAAATCTGTTTCTCCGCTTGTTTTTAAAAAGGTCAGTACCAATGATTTGTGTAATAAACCTGATGATTTGACGGGCAGCCTCAAAATTAAAAGTAATCCTAAGCATAAAGGATTTTTTGTCTTCCATCTCTTTTTCTTTCTTCTTTATTCATATTCCATCTTCACACTCTTCTTACATCATCATTTTCAGAATTACTTTGTCAATGCACTGAACAAATTGATGTTTGAGAATAATCAAAAAGTCACCGGAAGGTCACCAGAAAATTAGAGGTATCGAAATTTTTGTCTGTATGGTATATAAATATTGTCTGTGACATGTTGGATAATGATATATATTGTCTGTAATGATAGACGTAAAGTAGTAATATTTTATATAACTTCATCATATACAAAAAATGTGTGTGTACAAATATTAGTTTGTTTGCAGTGCTCTGTGTACACAGACAAATAATGTTGAAAGAAGTTAGGGTGCGGTTGCACAAAAAATGTTTGTATACACAAATAAAAAAGTGTACACAGACAAATAATGTTTGTTTGAACAAACAACTAATGTCTCTGTACAAAGACATTACTTTCCGTGCAACCACCATGACATTTATGCAAAAAAGTACGCCAAACAATGTGATTTACACATAAACCTAATGTATGTGTATACAAACATTGTAACATTTTCATACATTTGTACTTTTTTAAAATTAAGGAAAAAATAATTTAAACACCCCAATTTTTGAGGAATTATTGTTCGATAAGTGCCCAAACTTGTCTATGTAATATATATACTTTGAACTTTATATAAAAAGTTATATCACCGTCATCGTCATATGTTTTTCTTTCATTTGTGAAATACACAATACTACCCCTGATCTATATAACAGAAATACTTTTAGTTTAATATTTACCAACACACGATTTTCAGCATTAATACATTTAATTGACTATTTGTTAAAGTGTAAAAAAGACATATTCTGAAATTTTAAACCTAGACAAATTTTATAATGTATTTTATATAGAACAATTATTTAGTATATTAATAAATAAAATGCAGTTAAAGTAGAGTGTGTATACAATGCAAATATTCTATTTTTCCTTTTACACTAGTCGCACTCTACTTTGGCTGAATTTTATTTATTAATCTACGAACTATGTACTACTAAATAGTTGTTATATATAATTGGACTATAAAATTTTAATTTTAAAAAATTTTTTACTAATAGTCAATTAAATTTGTAGTAATGTGTTAGCAAATATCAAATTAAAGTATTGCAATTACTTAGACCGGATGTAATATTGTTTGTTTCATAAATGAAACTTTAGAATGTTTCCTGCATCATAATAAAAGTGTGGAGTATTTTAAATTATGTATTTATCACAATAAATTTACATTTTTGAAAAGAAAACATATGATCACAATGCTATGATAACACTTTACATAAAAATCAGGGTGTATATATTATATATGTAAAATTGGGATACTTACTTCATATCTGATGGAGTATATGGACTCCGACCCCCCGGTCTACCGACTATTGGGCCTGGACAGCGGCCCACACACGTTTAGCGGATTCATATTATTGTACATTATTATTATTCAGATGTTCTAGATCGATTAGCTTTTTATACTATCAGTCCATTTATGTAATCAGGTTTGTCAGGCCCACATTAGAGGCCCAGACCCGGATTTCTCTATATATACTCCTTTTTGGAGCTTGTAAACATAACTCACGGTTCATTCACAATACACATATCTCCTTCTCCACTACTCTTGTTCAATCTCTTCTTATTATACAATATGGATATTAATTATTCATCAATATCTCTTAAATGTTTGGTGTATTTAAATTACTTTTCCCTAAAATTAAAATATACTTGTACACATTTTTAATAAAGAATCCTACACCTATTTTTTTCAGTCAAGCGGCCGTTTTTCCTGGGCTTTTAATTCTTCCGCTGACTTGATAGATTGAGCGGCTCTTCAATTTTGAATTTTCCCCTGTGACGAGTTTCTTGGTGCGAACAAGAAACAGAGACAACAATAGTGAGAGGATGACATAATCAAGTGAAGGTCATGAGCGAAGCTTAGGGGAAAAATTGGAACATATATAGATTCAAGGTCATCTGTGATTGGTGGCGAAAGTGAAGGCTTGACAGAGAACACGATGAATAAGAGGCAGAGTGAGAAAGAAGCTACACTAATGTTGGCCCATCCCCCTCTTGAACCGCCGTCTAAGTATATTTGGGCGATGAAGCAAGAGTTTTACTTTTTCGCTTTTCTATTTTTTAATTTTCTGAAGTTTATTGTTTACTTTCGGTTGTGCATTTTATTTCATTGTAAGATCGTGAATTTGGAGGTGGGTGACGAAAGGTTTGCGTTAACTGTCTTTGGCTCATTTGCATTCAGTAAAAGATCAACGAGTTATATTGCTTATTTAGAGTGATAAGCTGTGAGTCTTGTTTGAGGGTCGACGATTGTTTGTGGTCTTTTTGTCTTTTTACTCATTATCTGAATGATGTGTTATCAATTTAAGCCTATTTCTTTCATAAACAAAATAATCATACACCTTGCATCTAATGTTGTATCCATATTTTGTTTATTTAATGGGGGCAAAATAACATTCAATTACAATAAAATTTTTAGTAAAACATAAATAGTACATTAACTTAATAAAAATTTGCCTCATTGGGAGCACTTTCAACCATTTTATTTTTGTAAGGGATTTCAATTTTTATTTTTCCTAAATTCAAAATAGGACAGATAGTGTGCCTCTCAGTGGGTTTGAAAATAGTTGTTTTAAAACAAATGTCGAAACAATATCCCTTAGCGTCTTATTAAAGGATGAGGAATATTTCAAAATATGATTAAAAATAATGTCATGTTCGAAAAATGACTACTGTATTTCCTCAGAATAGAAGGAATTTTTCAAATTTTGATTAAAATCAGTGTCATGTTTTGGTATTACTAGGTATTAAATATTAATATATAATAAAATATTTCAACCATCACGATGATTTTTTATATTTAGGGAAAAATATGAGTTGGGTCATCCGGAAACAGTTAGGGGTGTGCACGGGTCGGGTTCGGGCGGGTCGGGTTTGCGAACCCTAAACCCGTTCGGGTTTTTTAATTTAAATATTAGGCCCGACCCTTTAATATTTCAAATCGGGTATTTCGGATATTTTTAAGTCGGGTATTATCGGATATCGGGTCGGGTTTCGGATATTTCAGTTATATTAAAAAAAATTATAATTGGATAATTAAAGTGTTCAAATGTCACTTTGACAAAAATTGTACACACTAGTGCACTAAACTTCCAAATTACACAAATAATTTAACACAAATTGCACAAATAATTACACAAATAATTGAACAAAAGTAATAATTTAACATATTCAAAGTACACACTACATAATTTAATATATTTTGGATATTTTGGTTATATCAAAACACATTATAATTGGATAGTTAAAGTGTTGGAATGCCACTTTAACAAAAATTGTACACAATAGTTCACTTCACATTCAATTTACACAAATAATTTAATACAAATTGCACAAATAATTACACAAATAATTGAACACAAGTATTAATTTAAATATTCAAAGTACACACTAAACATATATTTCGGATATTCGGGCGGGTCGGGTTGGGATTTCACAAACCCTACCCGCCACCCGGTCTAGGCCCAATACTAATCGGATTTTCGGTTTCGGGTTTTTCGGGTCGGATATCCACTTCGGTTCGGATAATATACGAAAAAAATATCGGGTTTTTCGGGTCGGATCAGGTTTTGCTCAGCCCTAGAAACAGTGCAGGGGTAAGGGTTGGTTTGCAACTGCTTTTAAAAAAACACTTCTCATCTTTTGGATTTAAAAAAGCACTTATTTTCCCAAACACTACAACTTTTATTTTTCTCGGCTTCCGCGTCAAAAGTGCTTTTACTTTTTCTATTACACAAAAATCACTTATTTTACCAAACACTACCCACTTTTACTTTTCAAAATCACTTTTTTCTCAAACACTATCAACTTTTATTTAATCACTTCTCCCCATTTCATTAAAAAAAGCACTTTTTAAAAGCAGAAACTGTTGCAAACAGACCCAAAGGGTGTTTTCTTTTGGACTGAAATTCGCTGGTCTGATTTGGTTTGGTTTGGTCTGGTAAACATCTGGTCTCTGTGTATTTTATAACTACGGAAGTTAAGTCTGGTGTGATCTGATCTGGTCTGATATGGACTGGGATGAAAACAGTCCACCGTACGTGGGAATCTTTGCGGTACTGGGTAACGATGATGAGGGAAAAATATGAGCTGGCAATGCATGTTAAAAGATCGAGTGCAATAGCTGTCCTCATTGCCTCTTGGACCATTTGAAGTGCAGCCAATGAATTAGAGTGAGAAAACCTAAAAATTTGTGTATTCACTCTATGAATCCTTAAATTGGGTGTATAAGAGGGTGTGGGGTAAATGGGCATTTGACTATTTGGGAAGAGAGTAGAAATATCAACATACAGTCAAAAACTTGGGAAGAGAGTAGAAATATCAACATACGGTCAAAAACTAAGGAGAAAAAATGAAGGGTCACAATAGACCACAAGCCCATGCAGGAAGGCAATGCATGACATAACTTTTGTTAATCAAATAGTTCAAAAATGCAAATCTTCATTTAAAAAAATCTGAAGCAAAGGGAAAGGATAAAACAGGTTAAAGGAGGATCATAACATGGCCACAACAAGAGAAATAAATGTTCAGAAAATCAACTTTTCTTGGCCATTATATGCATTCATTCCTTTAATCTTCATTTTCTTGTGTTTCTTCTATATATTTGCACAATCTCTGTACTCCCAATCTTATCAACTTTCTCCTTATTACCCATTATCCATCACACCACCTTTTTCAACTCAACCCCTTTCCTTAATCCCTCCAAAAGGTACAAACCTTAACTTTGATAATTTTCATGTTTCCAAAGCTTTCACATCTAAGTATCTAATCCTCTAATCTTTACTTTTTGCTCATTGCAGGTAAGGTAGAAGAGGAACATGCATGTGACTACACAAATGGGAAATGGGTATACGACAATCTTGGGCCATTATACAATGAGACAAGCTGTGGGACCATGAAAGAAGGGAGGAATTGCTTGAGCCATGGAAGGCCTGATAAGCAATATCTGTATTGGAGATGGACCCCAGAAAACTGCAAACTTCCCAGGTTTGATCCAAAGACATTTCTTGAAACCTTGAGGAACAAGCATCTAGCCTTTGTGGGTGATTCGATTGCCAGGAACCAATTGGAATCACTTCTGTGCATGATAGCCACTGTTTCCACACCTGAATTGGTTTATTCACATGGTGAGGACAATAAGTTTAGAAGGTGGTACATTCCAACCCACAATTTGAATGTCTCCATTTACTGGTCACCATTTTTAGTGAAGGGCATTGAGAAAAACAACGAAAAGAATTATAATGTCCATAACTTAGAGTCTGTGGATGAGAGGTGGGCTTCTGATATAGGGAAGATTGACATTTTGGTTTTATCAGTAGGGCAGTGGTTTAAGCTTCCTGCTGTTTTTTACTATAATGATCAGGCATTGGGTTGCCATATTTGTGAAGGAAAGAATTATACAGAAATTGGATTTGATGGCCCACTTAGGATGGCATACAAGACTGCCTTCAAATCAATTCTTGAACGAAAAGGTCCTACTGGTGGTTCAATCAATGCTATTCTCACAACATTCCCTCCTGCACATTTTGAAGGGGAATGGGACAAGTTGGGGACTTGTTCTAAGACCCTACCCTACGAACCAGAGGAGAAAGTTCTTCAAGGGATGGAAGAAGATATGCGGAAGATTGGGATAGATGAAGTGAGAGAGGCAAAACAAAAGGCCAAGGAGTTTGGGAACAGGATTAAATTAGAGGCATTGGATATTACTAAGTTATCATTGCTTAGGCCAGATGCTCACCCTGGTCCATATATGCTTCCTAATCCTTTCGAAAATGGAGTGAAGGATCGCTTACCTAACGATTGTGTTCACTGGTGTTTGCCAGGGGCTATTGATACATGGAATGAGATTTTGTTAAAGGTTATTAAGAGATTGATGTGAAATGTATAGATTTTCCATTGAAGCCATACGGTTTTGTATTTTTGTCCGTCTTATGTGTTGATGCTGTTTGAGTATGGAATTTTGTGAGTACAAAATCTGAAAATGGGACAAGAAAAGCTGACCGCTCAAGCGGTTTAGCCAACTCTCCTCTTTTTGTGGCCTATGGGCGAGATCATATCTCATCATCATTACCCCAGTGCCGATAAGGCTCCCCACCTACAGTGGGGTAACGGGGGATCGGATGTACGCAGTCTTACCCCTGCATGAAAGAACAGAAAGACTATTTCCGGATGTCCCATAGTGAGTCATTTTTCTTTATTCCATCATATTCCTGAGCCAAAAAATGTTGAGTCTTTGGCTCCATTGCAAAAGGTGGAAAAGGCTGTATAAAAAAATCACTTGTCATTTGTCCTTCCTCATACCCCTTCAATAGGCTGGACCTTACTTGTTACTTTGCCAAGTTAATGTCAATCAGTTGCTTTCTCAAAACATGTTTAATGTTTGGAGGACTACTATTATTATTAATTCATCGAAATTTCGACCATTTTTTAATGATTTTTTCCATTAGCCTAAGGAACATGCCCTTGTTGTCCACCATTCTGGTCAAGCACACATAATTTGGGCACAATAATAACTACCTCATTCAGATCTTTAACTACTTTATCTCTATAGATATATCCATTTAGATGTATCATTGTATCCTATGTATGTACAAGCTAGCATGGGAACTTTATGACTTCCTCATTAATAAAGCTCATAAAGATTCTGACATGGAATCCCTGATGTAGAATAGTGGATTTTCAGATCATTCTGAATATGTGCATCGTCAACCCCTTTCCTCTTGTATTTGTACAAAGAATCTGTTGGAGTTCTCTCACGCATTCTGCCATTGATGGCCTTTCACAACTATCAGACCGGACACATCGCGATGCTAGATTTGCAAACATGGTGACAGACTCCATTGTGTATGACCCCCTGCTCATCCCTGGGTCAATCACTTTATAAAGTTTCTTCTTGTCTTTAATAATATGCCTGACCTGTTGCAATAAGCCAACTCATCCCTTTTTTGCTCATGTTTCTTAAAACTAGACCGGCTTCATAATGTTAGATTACCTGTAGTACCAGATTCCGATCACTTGGGCCAAGGTGGAGGTCTACTGCCCCACGTCCAGTCAAGAGCTCAAGCAGAACAACACCAAAAGCATAAACATCACTTTGTAAAGTAAGTTTTCCTGTCTGTCACCCAATAGGATAAAACTTTTGTCAATATGTGATATGAATCAAGTGCTCGATCCCATTAGTAGAATGAATTTATATAAAGGTTTTTATATGATAATAGTTACACTACACATTTTCTTATTCTTTAAGTAGATTACTGATATGCATATATGTGTGTGACAGTGATTTGTGATGAAAATGGTGGAAATACCATGATAAATTATTACCTTGAATTTCTGAATGGTATTTCTGAAATAAGTCACTTTAGGATTATAAGTTTTAACATGTATTAAGGCTCTCACTGGGAATCTTGAAACTTACTTTCCTAAATCATTTCGCAAAAGTATCCTGTGTTTGGTTTGTTGGATAAAATGAAGTCAATGGAAAATGATTTCGCCTTCAAAAGGGATATCACCCCAAAAATGTGAAAAATGATTTGCCTTTCGTTTGTTTGATTGTTTGACAGAAGTCATGTTCCAACTTTCATTACCGATTGGCATACCAATCCTCTGGTTATTCATGAAATACTGAATTGAGATCACAACTTAGTTCGACAGTAGGCTAATCATGAAATTACTGTTATCAACTTATGATTCGTTCTCTTTGGAATGTGTGTTCTCCCATATTATTATTGCTATAATGAAGGTAATTTCATGAGGAATAGAAAAATGCTACTCCATTTAATATCGGAACATTTAATATACCCGTGTATACTCAGGATCAAAGTAGCCAAAAGTCCCAAACACATTTGATGTGACACATATTTCCTTGCCTTCTGGCATCAACTTAGCAAGCCCAAAATCTGATATCTGCAAAGATAACCATGATTATAGCAGTACCACCTCCGTCCCAAAAAAACATGTTTTTATCACTAAAAGCACCATTACAAACATGAGTTTTCTTTTTTGGGGTGGTATACACTATAAAGTACTCCTCCCCATAAGTTTATTCCTACCTTCCTTTTCGGGATGTTCCAATATGTTCTTCTGTTTACATCAACCACAAGTATACTATTTCACATTCTTAATAAGTGTGATGAGTTAAGATGGGAAGAAATTTGGGACGCCACGTATATATAAAAGCAACAAGAGCTCATCATCATATGTGTGGCTAGCTTATTGGAGTCAGTACCTTAGCTTCGCACTTGGTGCTTAGAAGAATGTTGGTGGATTTGAAGTCCCTGTGAACAATAGGAATCCCAACAGCAGGACTTGAATGGAGATATGCAAGGCCTCTTGCTGCTCCTAAAGCCACATTCAGCCTCATAGGCCAATCCATCTTCCTTTCTCCTTTCCCTGCATTCCACCTCTAACACTTAGAGTAGTTAAATGCATATGACTTAAACTGATTTACAGAACTTTTTCCAACAAACAAACCATGTAAGTGGTCTTGAAGATTCCCCTTTTCCATATACTCGTATACGAGAAATCTGTGTTTTCCATCAGCACAATAGCCCACCAAAGATATGAGATTTGGATGGTCCAGTCTACTTAAGATATCAACTTCCACACGAAACTCTCTCTCCCCTTCCACTTCTTTGTATGATGGCAAGTCCATCTTCTTGATTGCTACAACCTTTGGATCCAATAATAATAATATTAGATTTTCTATTATAGTTTAGTTTATGTACACACATATACAGTCAGGCGCATCTGAACAGATTCCAATCCGGCCAACTTCGACTTTTGGCCAAAAAATAATTAAGAAATCCATATTTTCACTCACTAGTATCAAATATTAACTTCAGCCGTTAGATCATGTCAAAAGTTCAATTTTACCGAAGATAGCTCCATTTTAAATGATGACCTATGCTTAACCTTGAGATAATATCTGGGAAGAAAAAGTGAGTTTGTTGCGTCTGTATTCGAATGAGATGAAGCTTTAATGATTAAATTAATAGTTGATACTACGTGAGTAAAAAGAATGTGAAATGTAGAAGTTGACTCATGAAGAAGTTGGCATGACCAAATTCTTACCTCTCCGGTTCGGATTGTTCCCTTATATACTCGACCAAATCCTCCTTCCCCAAGGAGGTTTTCATCACTGAAAGAATTTGTTGCCTCCTCCATTTCTTTCAGTGTAAAAACTAATGAGCCATGGTGTCTTTTTGCAGGTGGATTAAGATCTTCAAGCTGCCACTCTTCTGCAGGTTTGTATACCCCTGGTGAAAAAATGCACACTTTATAATGGTAAATTTTGAAGAAATAAGAAATACAAATTCTGGCATGCTTAAGCAGGGGGGAGGGGATTAAAGCAGAAGCAGAAACATGCATACATGGATCGATCTGCCCGTCCGACTTGCTTCTCCTGCGTTTATTCCATGCTGTAACTAGACCAAAAGGCATGTTATTTATATCAATATTCTTTTTCCCTTCTTCAATTAGATCCTGCCATGCTTTTATCAAGTAGGTTTTTGAGTTCTAATTTAATAATTCTATATATGCATATTACAAAATAAGAATGTATGAAGCATGAAACATCTGCAATGACACTACTACAAAATTAATAGACAAGGATACAAATGTGAATCAGAATCTTGGTTGGATTATGAATAAAGCAACATCTAGTGGCTTGTCTGAGTTTAAACTGAGGTGGTTCTTTAATCCTAATCCACACACACAGTAACAGTCAACAACTAATGTGATATTGGACAATTCAACAAATGAAATATTTAAGAAGAGTTAAACTTAAGGAAAAAGACTTCCCAAACCTGACACTGCCATGGCTCCAAGAACCCAGCCTAACTTCTAAGTTCAAACTTGAAGCATAAGAGAATAATATATTAATTGGAGAGAAAGAAAGAAGAGAAAAGGTAGCACGTGTTACTTAGTTACCTTTTCCTTACAAGTTACAAGTGATAGGTGGGGTCAGGAATGAGCTTGGAACTGAAATAAAGCTGATCTCCCTCTATACATTCCCATTTTCCTCTACTGGAAAATGGCTTTAGTTGAGTGGTCATTTTCAGATAGCTTTCATTGAACTTTTCCTTCTCCAGAATATTTTTATTTCTTAATGCTCTAGCCTATATGAATCTCTACATAATACCCTAACGGCCACTTAATATTTTGGTAATAACTTTCAAAGTCATTTTCAAATAAATATTTTCATATGAATAGTTCAACAGAGAAGAAATAAAAAAACAAAGAGGGGTGGAGTGGCCACATAGCCCCACCTGATGTGACCTCTGCAACTCTGCAAGTTGTCAGATGTTTATCCGTTCTTGTGTAAAACTAATCACTAATTATGACTCAAAATTGTGTAGTTACAATTTATGAGAGAAATAAATAATAACTCCAATACTCCATAATGTTTCCCTTGAAAATAAATTGAGGGTACTTCTTTAACGGATAAAATAAGAAAGCGTGAGCAATTTAAGAGCAAATGGAGCACTACCTTAAAATCTAAGCCATCTTATATATTGAAAGAAAATTCTCAAATGGCAATAGCCATTTTAAGGCTATCTCCATCTCTACAAGATATGTATTTAGTTTAAGTACGTACTTTGCCATTAAAGAGCATAAGGAGTATATAGTATGCATTTTTTAAGGGAGACGCTATGTTAGTAATATTATTTGTCTCACCTCTGTAAAATCCTCTTTTTAAATTATAATTGTACAATTCTCATTTTTCTAATCATCATGTTCATTAATCAAGTGGCCTGGGGTTATGACTTATGAGGCCACCCCACTACTCTTTGGTTTTTATTTATTTTCTTTTTTTTTTTTGTAATTATTGTTGTAGAAAAAGCCTTTGGAAGTTAGTACGGCCATTTTTTGAGGAATGAAGAAGAGGGAGAGTCAGGGGCAGACCTGGTCTCTACTACGGTCTGCCCCTGGGGAAAGTTAGCCCATGTTGTCACTTAATACTTCGTATTTGTGATTGATTTGGTTGGCGATAATTTCTTTTCAAGTACTGTAGTTATGGGTCACTGTTAATTCCTTCAGATCACAAAAAACTTTTTGGAAATCTAGCCCTTATAAGTTATTGGTTAATTCTTTATTTGCAACAACTAGATCTTTTAATTGACGGAGACTTCCACGTTCCACATCATCATATATCAGGACACACATTATAAATATATTTGCTCTCAATATAGATGGTAATTGTATTTATTCATATTTTAATGCATATATTGAAGTATTGAAAGAAAACACAGATTGGACCCTCCAGCAGATTGAAGGTCCACTCATCAGAAGATGTTAATTAATCATTGAAGTATATATTAAGCCTTGAGATAAACTTCAAGACCCTTGAAGGTCTTAACAGCAGCATCCTTGATGAGGCTGGGCTCAGGGACCTCATCACTGGCCTTCTCAAATTCACAGCACCACTTAACCAGGCTTCCATCTCCCTGTGGAGTCACTCCCACATTAGCCTTGAAACTCTTGTAGTATTTCAGGATGTCTCCCTCAATCACATTGTAGCTCAAGCTCTTCTTCTCTTCATCCACTGACTCTATCTTCTCCTTTGAGAATGTCACCAGTGGTGTCCCTTCAAATTTCAAAACCAAATTCTTAGTATGTATGGTAAAACACCACACCTACAGTAATATATACTTGTATATGTACTACTCCATCTTTTTAAACAAATGCACACATCATACATCTTGTAGGAGAGAAAAAGTACCAATTAATATATATGATTGATGTTAAAGTTCTTGCTTGACAAGTTTTTTAGTGCGGGCTCATTTTATTGTATTTAAAACTTCAAATTTCATATTGATATTAAAGTATATGCTTGAAATATATGGTAGTTGGATTCAAGAATGTTGAGAAAATTATAGCAAATGAGTTATTGTCATACGTTGGAAAAGGCATGCATGCATGATCCATGATATCCGCAATCCCATAAAATTATTCCCACTTATCATTTTGGATTTTCATGTCCCAAGAAAATCTTTTCATTTTCTTTTTTGAAAAGTTTTGTGTGGTTAACGTAACATTCATTTACATACATTTTGCTTACTCAAGTTAAATTAGAATAGAAAGTATTAAGGGCACATCTAAAAATATGGGTCCTTGCTACATCTAAGCATCAGTGGGGCGGGTTAAATGTGAAAAATGAAAAATTTACACCAAACATTGAAAGAAAGTCATCGTAAATTTCGGCTGATCATAGCTCTAACATAGATAGCCCCTATAATGTAGGTACATACCTTCGGCAAAGGTGACCAAGCGGACGGAGCCAACAGAAACTCCATCACCTTCAACCACCTCAATACTCTTGTATTGTTCAGGGAAGGCCTTGGGGAAGACGTTGATGGAGTCCTTAAGGCTACTCCACAGCTTCTCTGCACCAACGTTGACCTCCACGTCCACTTCAATCTTTCCTTGACCCGCCATTTCCGCCCTTCAAATCTTAGATCAGATAAGATAACAGATGATTTTGATCGATATAATAGATGTAAGTGTAGAGTGTATGATGGAGAATAGAATGAGGATGCATGTATATATAGTGCCTTCGTTCCTACACGTAGTAATTGCCATTAATGGTTTTGTTGACAAAAGAATGGACCGTCTAGGCTATTTATTGGTGGCATCGTTCCATCCGTCGTCGGTGTTTGTAGCTTCATTTATTAAGACCAATACCCACGCTGTATAAACTTAATTAATTTAGACTTCAGTCCCATCTTAATTAAATTAAATTAAATGTTTTCACTTACTAATTTCAATCAGTAAATTAACAGATCGAACTCAAAAAAATTACGCCGGAGTCATCGGACTAGAATTAGTAGATCAAGGATGTTATTACTTCGACCGTTATCTGTTCCAGACCAGATCAGACCAGATCAGACTTGGATAGTTATAAAGATACAAAGAAACTAGATCAGACCAGATCAGACTTGAATAGTTATAAAAATACAAAGAAATCAGTTCAGATAAGACTAGACCAGTCCAGATCAGACCAGCAAATTACCATCCAAGTAAGAACATCCGAATAGGAGATCGGATCTTATCAGAATATTTGTATGGGTGTAAAAATATGAAATATGAAATAGTGAATAAAAGTAGTGGTCAAATGTCACATTTACTCATCGCTTACTATTCCGCACCCCTTTTAGAAAATTTGGATCATTTAATTCAGAACGGTGCTCTCATGTTCGTTGATGCATTTGTAAGACAAGATAGTACGCGGCGCGGAGACAATTTTTTTTCAAACTTAAATTGCAATTTACTGACTCAAAATAAATAGAAAAAATTAAAAATATATTACTACTTTAAACCTTATTAACAAATATATGACCGGCGGTTAATAATGTGAGTGCACTAACTACCTTCATTACTAAAAAACTGCCGTAGGTATTTGTATTAGTGAAGAGTGGGTTACTATTTTGTAAACTTACATATTTTTGGTAATATATTGGTAAAAAACTCAAATAAATACGCGTAAATGAGATTAAAAACTATCCTAAATTTTCTAAATAGGAGTAAAAACATTACAATGTTTCAAAATATGATTGTCGTGTTTTTATTCACTAAATATCAATTGATATACTATGGAGCAATACACTGTTGTGAGAATGCTGCTCCCACAGATAAAAGTGTGTGTTAGTGTTCATGCAGGTGAACAATTTTTTTTCCATTCTTCAGTAGCAGAATGATGTAACTCGCGTATAAAGAAATGTAGCTCATGCCGATAAGAAATGTAACTGCAGGCGAGTGGAAATGTAACCTATCTAATACGGATTATAAGAAATAAACATTGATTTCAATGAAAACAAGGAGTAATTTCTCAATTATTTTACGTAAATAGTGAATATGTTTTTTAAGACCATAAATAATGTTTTTTTAAATCATACGGAGTATTTTTGCCAAATGAATCATTTTGTTTTACAAAAAAGTGATTTTTTGTTTCAATAGGGACTTGCTTAAATAGTGAATATGTTCTATTTTTAATATTAAGGTCATAAAAATGTTTTTAAAAAAAATCACTTGTTTTGCCAAATAATAAATCATTTATTTGTCCAATTTCTTTTTCCAAAAAAAAATGATTCTTTTACTTCAATAGCAGGGCTTTATGTTGTGATGTAGCTGTGTTATGCAAAATGTAACTCGCGTTGATGAAAAATCTAACTTAGGTGTACGAAAAATGTAATTTGTTAAGGCAAGTCTAAATATAACTCACGTATAGAAAGATGTAACTCACACATAAAATACTAAAATAGATGTAACTCGTGAATAAGAAGATGTAGTTTCATATACTATCAAATGTAAATAATGAAAATAAGGAGTCTAATTGCTCAAATTAATTTACATAAAGAGTTAATATGTTCTGTTTTTAGTATTAAGGCCATAAAAATGTTTCAAAGAAAAATATTGCCAAAAAAAACTTCCTTTTTTGCCAAAAGTCATTTTTTGGAAAAAATAAAATCATTTTTGTTTGCAAAAAAGTGCTTTTTTGTGAAAATACCCAGGGTTTATTTTGAACTCGTGTTATGAAAAAATGTAACTCAAGTTGATGGAATATCTAACTTAGGTGTATGCAAAATGTAACTTGTTGAGGCTAATTCAAATGTAACTTACACATAGGAAGATGTAACTCAAATCTAATTCCAGAAATTGTCTATAAACATAACCCACACATATGAAAAATGTAATATAATTTCATGTGTTATGAAATTCAATTTATATCGAAACAAACAAATTTAATGTCTCAAAATTGTTAAAAACATATCAAAGAGATAAGAAATACTATGTATATATTTTTTGCAAAGAGATAAGAAATATATTATAGAAAACAAATTATGAATATCAAATATAAAAAATATTACACAAAAAATATATTCTATAGTAATTTCACTTGAAGATAAAAAAAAACAGTAGAAAAAATGTATGATTATGAAATACAATATACTACCTTCGTCCCTTTTTATTTAGTCATCTTTGACTTTTCCAGTCAAAGGTGATTAACTTTGATCCATTATTTTAATTAACATATTTATGTAAAACATAATAAATTTTATACTTTTATGATAGTATTTTTAACAAAAAACATTTTCATATAATTTTCATATTATCAATATTATCGTGTATAAATATATAATCGGTCAAAGTTGAACAACTTTGACTTGAAAAAAGGTGTTTGACTAAATAAAAAGGGACGGGGGGAGTACTTATTTTACGTGGATTAAAAGGATTTGGTAATAATTTGGTAAAAGAAAAAAGTGTGAATATAAAAAATATTGCAGAAATAAAAATAGTGCATAAATATGAAATGCAATATACTTATTTTATTTAGATTGATGAACTTTTTGGTATGTATTGATAAAATAAAAAATAGATTCAATTATAATTAAAGTTGAAGATAAAGAAAAGTAAAATTACAATTAATTTTTTAGTATTTTACTTTGATGGAAAAGGAGAATAAATGAAGAGAAGAAAAGGGAAAAAGTGTCAAATAAGCCCCCTTACTATAGTGAAAATGTCAATTAAATCCGCGAATTCAAAAAACACTCAATTAACACCCGAGCTATGAAAAAACTTTCAAAACGGGTTTTTATTAGGTAACCAACAGGTTACCAGATGAATTTTCACACGTGGCGACAAGTGGTAACACATGGTGACACGTGGTGACACATGTGTAAGTTTTTTCTTTTTTCTTTTCTTTTGCTTTCCTTTCTTTTTTTCTTTTCCTTTTTTTCTTCCTTCTCCCTGGTTCGTCGCTTCTCTGGTTCATCCGCTACTTCTCCCCTACGCCATTAAGTCCATCCACAGAAATGAAGCTCCACCCATTTAAACATCAAATGGATCTTGCAGTCATCAAACTTAACTGCTGAAAACATGAGATTCTTTGAAAGTGTGTTATCCATAATAAATAAAGATAAGAGTAAAAGGCTAAAAACAAGTGGATCTTTGTCCAGGGAGTAACCTAAGATTGTTTGTTGATCTCCTTGACGAGGCGCATCTCCCAGTATTTTTCTTTTAATTTTTCGAAAACTTTTTAAAATCGGTGTTAATTTTTCTAACGGCGTTAGACGCCATGCCCCTGCTATGATAACAGAATTGAAACGCATGCCCCACTTTGTT